AAGGGTTCCCTGTCCCTTTAGAGATAAAAGACGATTCCGTTATTGTTCATCGCATGTTTCTTTATATATTAGAACCTGTGGGCAGCAAAGCGCCCGCATTTACGGGCGATGTGAAAGGTGTGTGGATGGAAAAAAGCAGAGCATCCAATGTCGTATTACCGTGTCCAGCACAGGGATATCCCGTGCCTTCCTTTAGGTATAGCTTTTACATGTACATATATATAAAAAGAACAACAAACGTTTTTTTTTTGTTTTAAAACTGAAAATCAATTATATGAATCAAGAATAAGTTATTGCGCTTCTCATTTCACATTTTATCTCTATGCGCTCGCGTCGTTTTCTGCTCCGATTTTCCGCTCCGTTTCTTGTTAACGAAGGGGTCTCCTGTTCCATCAGAAAGGTTACATAAAAACACGACAAGCGTCGAGTAAAAATATCAACTTGCTGAGCAATCGTTGCATAAATGATTAGAGCCAGTCGGAAGCAAAGCGCCAGCGGTAACCGGCATCGTGAAGGGTGTATTGCTAGAGATCGGAGCACGATCTGCTGTCGTATTATTTTGCCCGGCGCAAGGCTATCCTGTACCCTCTTTCAGGTAATGGCAAAGAGCGTTAAATTAGACCGATGTTAATTTAGGTTAAACTTTAATTTAATCTCTACAAAATTTATCTACGTCAACTTAAATTAAAAATTGTTTATTTTTATTATATTTGGATATATTCAATTTATTGTTTATGAATTATATTATACAATAAATTCAAGCATTGATCTTCTTTGAATTCAGATAAAATACTAACAAGCTCGAATGTGTGGAATTAATTAACATGGAAATAAGCATGTATGATTAATTTTATAAAGTCCGAGTAGGTTTATCATGCACGTTTGTAATCGTCAGAGCCGATTGGAACTAAAGCCCCGGCTCTCAACGAGTTAAGAGCTGGATGGTTGAAGAAAAGAACGCACTCCAATGCTGTGTTATCGTGCCCGGCGCAGGGATATCCTGTTCCCTCCTTTAGGTAATGACATAGTACAGGAAAATTGTAATTAGATCCGATACGTCTTGTAAGACTTATATTTTAATTTAAAATAAATCGATTACTTATTGCTTTTTACTATTCACGGATTTTTTTGGATTCGCTTCGATTTATTGTTCTCGACGATAGACACAACGATCGATTTGTTACTTCAATCCGAAATAAAAGATTAATCTTGAGCTTGAGTAATATGTATATGGAAAGAATGATTTTGCGCTGAAGTATTAAAAAATTTAGCTAAATACGGATCTAAAAATAATTTTATTGGATCGTCAAAATAATTATGTAGGACATTCAAGTTCATTGTTAGAATGTCAAAATTTGACATTGCTTAAATTTCCTACATAATTATTTTGATGATTTAACAAAATTATATATTTTTAGATCTATATCTAACTAAATTTTTAGATACTTTTTAGAACATAATCGTTCCTCCCGTGTACAATTGATTTTATAAGGTCCAAATTGGTTGATTGCATGAACTTTGTAATCGTCAGAGCCGATCGGAACTAAAGCTCCGGCTCTCACGAACGAGATAAGAGGGGGATGGCTGAAGAAGAGAGCGAGTGCAAGCGCAGTATTACCATGTCCGGCGCAGGGATATCCTGTACCCTCTTTTAGGTAAAGTTACCGCAGTTAATAAAGAACTGTTGCGTGCCTTTTTCTGATTTCTCGATGGCTTTTGTTCGCTAGAACCGGTCGGCAGCAAAGCGCCGGCGTTGACAGGCGATTTGAAAGGTGGATGGAAGGAAAGAAGGGCGGGCTACACGGTCATATTGTTCTGCCCAGCTCAGGGCCACCCTGTGCCCAGTTTTAGGTAATCTTCTTTAATGCAGGAAAACACGTGTAATTTTGAAAAATGCGGAAAATTTTTTTCTTGAAAAAGAAACTCACAAAATATTTTTTTTTTAAATGAATGAGTCATTTTCTTTATCTCCGGTTTTGTTTGAAGCATTTTCGTTTTCTGAATCGTTAGAACCGATTGGAAGTAAAGCACCGGCGCTGATTGGCGAAATGAAACGCGGGTGGAAAGAGACAATTGCGAGATCCAGCGTGGTACTGATGTGCCCTGGTCAGGGTCACCCTGTGCCCAGTTTTAGGTAACATTATCGCGCAATTTCTTTTTTGAGAAATTAAGGCTTGATTGCACCAACGTTACTTTTACTTTGTTATAAATAAGAGGCTTAAAACTTTCTTTCTCTCTTTTTTTAAAGGGAGAGAGAGAGAGAGAGAGAGAAAGTTCTGATAATAATTCTCGCTTAAAATTATAATAACGTTGGTGTAATTGAGCCTAAAATGTATTGTACATACGTCGATAGAACCGGTCGGCAGTAAGGCACCTTCGATTTTGGGAGAGAAGGGCTTTTTGATGGAAAGGCGTACCGATACACACATCGTGATTCTCTGTCAAGGGCAAGCTTACCCTGTGCCAGCGTTCAGGTAAATCATATGGGCGAATTATATCGATTGAAATGATTCTTTTCTTAATCGCGTCAGTAATGATGTCTATTTTGTTGAAAATAAATTTTAGGATAATTTTTTTATTTTTTTACACTGAAAAAAATGTTTTGGTATGTATAAATGTTTATTGTGTTGATACGTGACTAAAAAACTTTCATATTTTTTCATTAAAAAATTGTTGTTCTCAAAATTTGGTTAGGGTAACATAATTTTTAAATGAAAAAGTAAAAAAATTTTTGTTAATCACATATCAACAAAATAAATGGTTATACATATCAAATATTTCTTTCAGTGTAATACAATGTATTGGTACAACAAAGGTCTGTAATTTATTTGTGTAAAGAACCGGTAGGCAGTAAGGCGCCTTCCGTCACGGGTGACGCGAAACGATGGCTACAAACTAAATTGATGGTCGGATTTGCGATGCAGTGCCAAGCACAGGGTCACCCAGTACCAGCGTTCAGGTACTAAGCGTGATTGTGCCCTTTATTGATTTGTACGTCATTAATGAGAGTTCGTGGTGTAGAACGGTGGAATAATAATCGTGGCTCGCTTTATTTTTTTTGAAAAAATATTTTGTTTTCATATCTTAGAAACACAAGTTTTTGCGATATAACTTTTAATTCGGAAATCGATCTATGCGATTCTTATATTATCAGAGCCAATGGGAGCGAAGGGGCCGAAATTCTCGAGTGACGATCGCGTCAACTCATTTATACGCGCTGCGGAAAGTGCATCGAGTTTACACTGTCCTGCGCAGGGGTTCCCCGTACCGTCGTTCAGGTAATTAAGAGAATGAAAAATTATCGGAGGATATTCAGATGATTTTCTCGCTTCGCTCCAGAGCCCGTGGGATCGAAGGCGCCCGCCTTTCAGAGCGACGCGAAAAGCAGCACTTATGTAAGAAATGCGAAATCGTCACTCGCGCTAACTTGCGCCGCTCAAGCATCGCCACCTCCGACTCACAGGTAACGATGTTAACGAACTGGACATAGAGATCGCGTAATTTGGAGTCTGCTAAAAATGATTGCTGCTAAAGTAGAAGTATTAAGTATAATACACAATTTATTGTTTTTGAATTATGGTTAATAATTTACATTTCTCTTATATCTTATTAATGCAAATTTGTAAATTTGTAAATCTTTTTATCATTGAAAGTAATAATTACAAAACGATTTTTTAAATTACTTTTCAAACTCTATTATTGTATATCTACATTTTCATTTGTATTTTAAATATTTTTGCCTTCTTTTTTGGATAAGTATTTTAAATTTAATTTTAGTCAATTATTTAATAAGAAATTACGGCGGTGGCGCGTTTTATCCCGACGTTTTATCAGATGTCATTTTAAGAAAAATAACAAATTTCATTTCCACGCTAGAGCCAGCAGGTCGTGTATCTCCAAAATTTCCGAAATCTGCAAAAAGTGATTCATTCGAGGTGGCGAATGGTGCCATGATAAGTTTATTATGCGATGCACAAGCATTTCCTGCTCCCGGATTTAGGTCAGTCATCAATATATTTAGTTAATTTTGTCTGTATATATTCTATGCAGTTCTTATTCTCAATTGAATTTTAATAGGCTACTTATAATATATCACTTTGTACGGCGGTGGCTCGTTTTGTCCAGACATAGATATATCATTTTAAGAAAAATAATAAATATTGTTTCTATGCTAGAGCCAGCAGGTCGTGTATCTCCAAAATTCCCGAAATCAGCAAAAATTGATTCATTCGAGGTGGCGAACGGTGCCATAATAAGTTTGTTGTGCGATGCACAAGCATTTCCTGCTCCCGCGTTTAGGTCAGTCCATCAATATATACACTTAGTTTTGTGTGTGTGTGTATATATATATATATATATATATATATATATATATATAGATATATATCTTCTTATTCTTATTTAAAAAAGGAAGTACAAATATTGCTTGGCGGTGGCGCGTTTTAAAGACACAGTCGTATTATTCTAAGAGAAATAATAAACTTTATTTACGCGTTAGAGCCGGCGGGTCGAGTGTCTCCAAAATTTCCGAAAATGGCAAAGATCAATTCCTTTGAAGTGGCAAGTGAAGCCGAAATCAGTTTATTGTGCGATGCTCAGGCATTCCCTGCTCCCGCATTTAGGTCAGTCTATATACATATTTATAAATATATTTTATCGGCATTTTTGAAATATATTTTACGTAACATTTACTTAGTTTAATTTTAACAAATTGATAAATAAATATATGGCGGTGGCGCATTTCTGTCGTAAAAAATTATGAAAAATAAAATTTATGTGCATTAGAGCCAGCAGGTCGTGTAGCCCCAAAATTCCCGAAAACAGCAAAATCCAATTCCTTCGAAGTGACGAATGATGACGAAATTAGTTTGTTGTGTGATGCACAGGCATTCCCTGCTCCCGCATTTAGGTCAGTCCATCGACATATTTAATTAAACATATTTTCGTAAAGCTTGTTCTTGCTTATTCGATACAATTCTCGTAACGTTATCGTTCTGTAGAACCTGTAAACGGTGCGAAGCCTCGAGTCGCTTCCACATCTAAATATGATGTTCTCGCGAATGTCGTCGGAGTAGCTGTAACAATGTTGTGCCCCGCGCAGGGACACCCTCTTCCAGCTTATAGGTATTTACAATTATTTATTGTAATCTGTAGCAAAGACTTTCCTCCGTTTCATCAATTTTATTCGCGATTAAAGATATATCTTCGATATATAACTCTTTTCTTGACAAAGGATAGCTTTGCTCACTTAAGCCTTAAGCGATTCATATCAATCAGCATACCTTGATTCGTTTTATCGCTTTATTGTTTACGTATCTAGAGCCAATAACTGGCGCAGCACCGAAAGTGCCACCAACAGCTAAAATAACTGTCCTCTCAATCGCGTCGCGAACTGCCATGGTAATGCTGTGTCAGGCTCAAGCGAATCCACTTCCTGTCTTCAGGTACGCCGACGTAAACGCAATGCAAATATTTGCTCTTGATAAGAATTTCCTTATCCGGGATGGAAATTAAATGAAAATACAGTGAAGAGATTAAATGAAGATACAGTTCTAAATGGAATTTATGTACACATGTAAAAGAAGTATTTGATTCCAGATTCTTCAAGAAAAGATTTTCAAGAGAAAACTACTAAAAATGTTTAATCTTTAACATTGATTAAACATTAATCTTAAACATTAATTGACTTTTTACAAAGTCAGGAAATAGAGACAGATTTGTTTTTACTAAAATAAGAAATGCATCCTGCCGATCATGTACTAATATTAAATTGAAGCATATATGTGAAGATATCGATTGATTTCGTGGCAGGTGAACCTTTCACCCTTTTCGTTTTTAGAACCGGTTGGAAGTAGTCCGCCTCGATTGCCGCCTAGATCTAAATTTGATGAAATGATGAAAAACAGGGGTCATGCAGTGACGTTGCTTTGCGAGGCTCAAGCCAGTCCGTCGCCTTTATTCAGGTGAGCCTGTTCGCACAATTTAACCAAAATCGTCACTGAAACATAATTTGTACAATATTATAAAATTATTTAAACTTTTTCAAATTTATTGATAATTGTACGAAATTTTAGTAAAATTGATTAAAGAAATTTTTAAAAAACATGACGTTGTAATGCAATTCTTAAGAATGTAAAATGCAGTTATTAATCGTTATCTTCACATTTTACCGTCCGCAAACCCGCATTCCGCGTGTCATGCGTCAACAATACATTTGATAACGACGACGACGACGATGATGACAATGATAATGATGATGATGATGATTATGGTGGCGTCGCGTTTCCCAGTTTCCCCAATATTTGCGCAATTGCAGAACCGCGAGGCACTGTACGTCCGAATGTACGAGACAAGGATGTGAACGGATTAAGAAGGGACATCCTAATCGAACAGACGGTTGGCCTACCTTGTCCTGTTCAGGGTTTCCCAGCACCTGCATTCAGGTACAGGCATTTACAAGTCGATTGACAAATTGCGATGCGAATAAGAATCGCATATCAGACAATTTCGAAATAACATTTGTATATCTCATTTTTAATTGCGATACAATTGCGGGAAGGTCCAATTGAAGAAATGAGATATGCCTTCTACGCTAGTTCGTGTTCTTGCACCCCGATTCCCTGCTTACAGAACCAACCGGCAATGTTGCGCCACGCATTGCCGGTGAACGTTACGAAGGTGGCAAGTTGATAGATGTACCAAAGGCGGGTATGGCAGCTTTGGAATGCGCCACTCAGGGTTTTCCTGTCCCATTGACAAGGTACATTGGCAAAAATCGCTTCAATATCTTCCTTCCTGTGTTTTCTTTACGATACTATTTCAGAGGGCACAAATAAAATCGCGCCACGATCATCAGGCAAGAAGTTCGGATTCGAAGTTGTTCTGGCTGTTGAAGGTCAGGATATTGCGTTGAGTCATTCGCTTCAGGGATACCCTGTGCCTCTCACAAGGTAGACTTTGGACGTCTTCTTCCACGCGGACAAATTTGTATAATCTGTTTTTTTTTCTGTTCTTCATCGTCGTCGTCAATGAAGTGAATCACGTTCTATAGATTACTGAAATGAAATGTGCTCATGTGAGAATGCTCTCGATGAGCTATAGAAAATTACAGATAGGCATAGTGAGTTAAGGAATTAACAATTTTGTAAATTCGGAATATCCGTTAAACACAAAATGACAGTAACATTAAATCAATATTATAGTTTCCCACTAAATAATATAAAATATAATATAATATATATAATGTAACATAGCACATGTGCGTAACAGTTACATTAGTGAATAGGAAATTATAACATTGTTATTCTTATATTTTATTGTGTTTAGCGGATAAATATCCAAGCTAATAGCGAGTTTACATCAAACTTTTACCGTGTGACGCTTGAATTTATGTATATATATATATATGTGTGTGTGTGTGTGTGTGTGTGTGTGTGTGAAAAAATGAGTCGAATGTCAATAGCATGAAAATGTAATATCAATAGTTTTTAAACGGTAAAGCTTTGAAAATGTCTAACCACAGGGCATGAAGTTCGCGCCATCGGATGCGACGCAATTAAGCGATACCGTTTAGCGATATCAAAGCGTTCGCGCGGCCGGCTGCTTAGATTGCATCGCACCTGATGGCTCGAACTTCACGTCCTGTGATTGGACACTTTTATTGTTTACAAATTATTGATGTTACAACATTTTGCTATTGACACTTTCGATTCACTTTTTCATGAGAAATATGTATATTCCGGGTATTCTCTTGTGGATAGTCTGGATCACCCTGTATATAGTAACAAAATGCAATATAAACATTAAAATATTTTCTGCCATTACGTTACATTAATTAGATGTGAGCGTCACGCAGTAAATAATCAGATGTAAACTTACTATAACATTACATTCAAAATCGGTTCACCATCTGGCAAGATTGGCATCGTAGTCAGGTGAGTAGATTGCATGCTAAAATTCTGTCGACTTAAGCCAGGTCGAACGCAAAGGCGATAGGGTATGTATAAAACTGTTAGTCGCTTAAAATTCAAACGTCGCGTACCGGTTCCGCAGTTCAATTAAAAAATAGAATGGACCCGAAACGTTATCAAGAGACGAAGCTCTCACACACTTTGGGCAATCTATTTATTTCAGAGCCGTCTGGTCGTACTGCCCCGAAGACGACTGGTGACGGCCTTAATAAGTACCGCGGGGTAGAGGGCGAGTCTCTGGCGCTGGCGTGTGCGGCACAAGGCTTTCCTGCCCCGATTACTAGGTACACACCTCCGTACAGATCTTTTTTCTCTCTGATTTGGATGTAGTCTCACGCTCCGCGGGGCACAGATCCTGTATTCACTATTGATATTTTCCATCCTTACCCTCTACCCCGTGTCGGGTGGCGGTACCGTAAGATTTGACAGGGGCAAGAAAAAAGGACATGATTTTTTTAATACAGAGATAGGATGATATTGTGAAATCCAAGAGAAGAAATGTAAAAGTATTTTTAAGACTTGGTGCAGAATATAAGAGAAAGAGTGCAGAGACGTAGAGAAGGAGGAGGAGAGGGGAAGAGAACGAGAGAGAGCGCAGATTAGAGCAGAGCTTGGAAAGGTGCTGAGAAATGACTGATGCTCTCGACTTTCATGCGACGGTTTAATAATTTCGATGGCCTGTTAATTCCGAATGTAAACTAAACGCGATATTACATGAGTCACAAACAATAGTGCTAATGACGAAATGTATATCCCTGATCCGGGGCCAATTGGACGTGTTGGTTTTCAGTGCCAACTGGATCCTCCCCTCAACCCTCGAGATAGGTGACGGAAGCGCGACCTCGAAAAGGATGCGGGCCCTCTGCTCCCCCGGTATCCTCGGTGCTGATCCGGGTGGTCCGAGAGGATATCACCCGATCAATGGGGCGGTCAATGTTGCCCTACACCTGCACACCTCCAAATAAGTCCCACAATATTTGGCTGGTAAGTCCTTGCCACCTTCTCGTGCCTCCGTTCATCCGCTCGTATTAATTCATTCCCCATCCTCTCTCTCTCTCACTCGTTCAAAAGAAAAGGTAAAAGAAGTGGATCGCTCGTTCATGTACACATTGGGCGTGTGTGAGTGACTGAGGAGAATCGAACCTTAACATTTTTTTCACGTCGTCCAATTGCACCATCGCCATTAAACGTACCGCCAATTCATCACTACTATTTTTGTTCCCTGCCCGATCGCCTTCCACTATCCGCCACCATTTGTGATTGTACATTCGACAATATCTCACAAATTCTATTCTTTACAGTTCTGGAATTGGTTAATCAATGCTAGAGGACGAATTTTTAAATGATTTTGTATCGCGACATGTATTGTGTGAGAGATATTGTTGCTTACATAGAAAAGTATGAAAGATTCTTTGCACTAGCACCCGCCTACAACAAACCACGTCAAAAAACCGCTATTGCGATCGCTTGATTACATCATTTTATTCTGGATTTGGCGTTTCTTTTTTACACCTTCCTTGCCTAAGCTAATCAGTGACGAGCGTCGTTGTGAATATCATGAAGAATCGAGTATATAATCGTTCGTTGCTTTCACACTGCACACAATCGCCCCTCACCTTCTTCCTCAGGGATTTTATCGCGGCAAGAATCGACATGTGAATACTTTTTTACGTATTCTCTTTTGCTTTTATTAATCTATTGTCGTCGTCATTGTCTTTATTCTTCTGTTGCGCCCCCGCCTGCATTGCTTCTCGATCGTGAGGCTACAGTAGAAACATCTTGTTTTATTCTTGAATTGTGATTTTGTTCTTGTACAAAATTATTTCGCGAAAGAGATGTGACACCGATAGATCGGTGGAGAAACGGAAGGCCGTGCCCAGAGACGCCCAAAGCCCTGCATATAGAATTTAAGGCATAATAGCGTAGAATGGAACAAATAGTGTTATTCGCGTTATGGATTTATATCAATTTATTCACAGTCTTGTACGTGTCTCATTCTCCCGTTAGAATTTTGTGTAAGCTGAACGCGTTATAATAAAAATGTTGTAATATTATATATTATAATAAAAATAATAAGAAAATGTTCTTCTATAAAGAATTGGTTTATAAGTCATTCACATAAAAAATAAAATTTACGAATTAAATTTATAAAATTAACTCGTATATTCTTGTTCCATTTTGCGATATAAATTTTGATTTATGTAAGCAAATAAAGATACGGAACGAGCAATTCTCGTTCCGGCATTGACGCGAAAATCGGTAGTTTTTATTTTCTTGTTCCAGATGGTACAAGTTCATCGAGGGCACATCGAGGCGTCAGCCGGTTCAACTAAATGAGCGCGTACGTCAGGTCAGCGGAACTCTGATCATCCGTGAAGCCCGAGTCGAAGATTCCGGTAAATATCTTTGCATCGTCAACAATTCCGTCGGCGGCGAAAGTGTGGAGACCGTTTTGACTGTTACGGCACCGCTGATCGCGGAAATCGAACCTAGCACGCAGACCATCGACTTTGGAAGACCAGCGACCTTCACTTGTACCGTACAAGGCAACCCGATCAAGACCATCTCCTGGCTCAAAGATGGAAAGCCCCTTGGATTGGAAGATCGCGTGCTGAGAATCGAGAGTGTGAAAAAAGAGGACAAGGGAATGTACCAATGTTTCGTTAGAAATGATCAGGAAAGTGCGCAAGCAACGGCAGAATTAAAACTTGGTGGCAGATGTAAGTTAAAATTCTATATTCTATTTTCCTCCAATGGTGTAATTAAATTAGTAATAAACATTTTTACTAATTACAGGTAATGGCAATTTTGTATGTAAACTGATTTACTATATTTGTGTACTAGGAAAAGAATCTAGTTGCATTAATCGAAACTAATTAAATTAGATCTTTCCGATTGAATTTATCTATTATAATTCTAGTTGAATTATCAGAATTCTGATTAATATAATCAGAATCTTCATTAATTTTTCAGAAATTTTTCTTAGTGATTAATTCAATTAAAAATTTTGATAATAATTTTGTAAGGTAACAAATTTTCATAAATTAATAAAATTTTTTTTTTAATAATTTTGTTGAAGTGATATTTGTAAATGAATATGAAATCGTTAATTAGAAAAATTGATGCCGCGAAAACAGAATCATAACGCTATGATTGTCAACAGAATTATCTTTTCATCTCTTTGATTATCGACAGTCGAGCCCCCGCAGATCCGTCAAGCCTTCGCCGAAGAGACTCTTCAACCCGGACCGAGTATGTTTTTGAAGTGCGTTGCCAGCGGAAATCCTACCCCCGAAATTACCTGGGAACTTGATGGAAAACGGTTGTCGAACACCGAGAGACTGCAAGTGGGACAATACGTCACGGTCAATGGCGATGTCGTGTCGCATCTGAATATTTCGAGCATTCATACCAATGATGGTGGTCTCTACAAGTGCATCGCTGCGTCAAAGGTTGATTCTCTTGATTTTTTATTAAATTTTTTTATATAAAAATGTGTAGACTTATTTTATTTAAATTTTATTTATCAATCATTAATAAATACATATATGTATAATATAATGCAATTATAGGTACACGTAAAACACCTTCAATGGTGTATTAGAAAAGATACGATAAATAAATAAAAAACAAAAGAAAATTAATAACATATTAAAATTGTTATAAAAATAAATATTATTTGTTAATAAATCTATTTTTAATTTACTTTTCATTGGATGTAAAACATTGTGTTTTATGGTCAAGGCTGTATATTTGTGTTATATATAGAGGGTGTAGGGTAAAATTTGTAACGACGCTTAATTCCTGAGATCATTTTGAGATGAAAATTTTAATACTAAAATGTCGAGACTATAGTTTTTGACTATAAGCATTTAAAGTTAGCGAATCATACCGAATAAAATTCGTGCGCTTAAGTATGATTAGATTTTTCATTATATCGCATTTGAACACGCGAATTTTAGACGATATGATTCGATAACTTTAAATGTTTATAATTTAAAAATTATTATAGCCCTTGATATTATAATTTTTGTTTCAAAATGATCTCAGGAATCTAATTTTAAGCGTTATTACAATCTTTATCGGACACCTGCTGTATAATTTTTTATTTAAATCCTCCACGGATATTCTAAATATGCAATGTTTAATTCTGTCAGGTTGGAGCTGCTGAGCATTCTGCCCGTCTCAACGTTTATGGTTTGCCGTTTATTCGTCACATGGACAAGAAGGCCATCGTTGCTGGAGAAACTTTGCGTGTCACTTGTCCTGTTGCTGGATACCCGATCGAAAGTATCGTTTGGGAACGAGATACCAGGGTCCTGCCAATCAACAGAAAGCAAAAGGTCTTCCTTAATGGCACACTCATCATCGAGAATGTTGAACGAATGAGCGACCAGGCAACCTATACTTGCGTGGCACGTAATGCACAAGGTTACAGCGCACGTGGAACATTGGAGGTTCAAGTTATGGGTAAGTTTGACATTTTATTTTCTAGCATTTTTCTTCGAATATAATATTTCAATTTCATATAAATATTAATTTTTTGTTCATATAAAATAGTACCTTAAAAGTAAAAGAATTACTGACATTTAATACGTTCCGTGCCGAATCAAATTTTTCGTAATTTATCTACCATGTCATCGATGACCCACGCAACATAGTTATTATATAATATCGCTGCGCTTGTTTTAGCGCCGAGACACCATGTCTCAAAATTTGTAAATTAACGAATTCTATATTATTTTTATATTTAACATAAATTCTATATATTTTTCATGAATTCTGTACCATTTTGGTTACGAAACCTGTTTTTTATTTGATACTTTTCTCTCTCTCTATATATATAAAATAAAAAAAAGTTTTTTATCTTTATTTTCCAAAATATCGGTTTGAATGGAAAATTTAGCGTACATCATCGGTGATCCACGCGGCACGGAACTTATTAAGAGAATTGAGTTTTAATGAAATATTTATTTAATATTAAGGTGGAAAATTTAAATGTAACAGAATATTCGTAAATTGAATAGAAGTTTACTCTATCATTAATCTGTTATTATATTCTTAAATACATTTAGCATAAATAATATATGGAATAATTAATATGGACAGAACAATTAATGTTCTGTTTAGCAATTAATTGTTTATCGATTAAAATAATCTGTCTCCTAAATAATTTCGAAAACAAAGGGTATATTTATATTTTCAGTTATCGGCCAACAAACCGACCGATCAACGAGATAAATGTATTAACTATAATAATATTAGGATAGCAAACATTTATTTGCAGCTATTCTCTTTACAGCAGATTTTCGTGTCTGTTACGTAATCATCAATATACTTTGTTACATCGCACCGTTTCGTATTGATTATGATACCGAGCCGGAGGTACCGGCAAATTGTTTATTGAGGACGTTGT